CAGAACTTAGTATACATTAAAAGATGTAGTAAAGCGTTCTGTACAAAATGGCGAAAACCGCATCACTCGATCACCTTTCGTTCTCAATATATTCAGAAAACATTCACGGTCCCTCAATTGTGAAATAGATAGTCCGGCCTGTCCAGTGAGACTGAACAGACAGGACGGGATTCGAACTGTTCTGAAGGACTCTAGTATTACGCTTTGAACTAGCAGATATGACTAATATGATTTTATTACTTGTCTAATGGGGCAGTTAAGCTCATTCGCACTGTAGCAAATTAATCAATGACGAACTATACGCACCCTGTTTGCGTTGTAATTGATGTTCTTTCTCGTTTGCCAACTTCTTGTGGTCTGTTTTTTGCTTTTTTATTTAATCTAGCATCATCTGGTATTTCTTCTACAATTGATAGTGGCTTTTCTGAATCCATGTTACATTGCACACCTGTTTGAGGACAATTTTTTGCTGGTCGTGTATATTGATAGTAGGGTATCGAACGATATTCATTAATATCATGCCAACTTTGACGACGTCGTCTATCATAAGTTGTCATTCGTACTGTGCTCTCATTTAATCCTAAATTACGCTGAGATCGACCAGCGATCTGAACTTGAATAGCTGCATCTTGAACCATATGTGCTTTTCCGCGTTCTACTATTGCACCGTCAACTAAACAGAAACAAGAGATAATTTGATTAATATATTGCTAGAAGAAGCTAGTTTACCTATTATCCAAAGTTTACACATCATCGGTAATTTCGTTGATTCAGCTTCGATATCCAGGCGAATAGAATCGGATATATCACAATCTTCTAACAATGTGCCAATACACCTTGCATTTTGTTGGGTAAAATAAACTTCTGGTTTTCCTTTTACGAACCATCCTGTGTGTCCATTTGTAAATGAATATGGTAGTCGTACACTATTTAAACATTTAACATAAGGACGAAATGGAATATAGGTTACGCCACTTCTTCTACGACGCGGTGGTTTTGGACGTGTTATTATTGTTAAGTTATCATAATCAATTGGTTTTTTTGTATCAAGTGTATTGAGTTGCATGATAATAGATATGCACAACACATGAACTCAAGAATAGAAGACCAGATGAAGAGTTAATTCAACATATTTTAGCAATTTTTATCCTAAACGAGAGAAGAAGAGAGAAAGTTATTTCGTTCACTCTTTTTTTCATTACGATTACTGTTCCATGTAACAATCACGAAGTTTTTCTCTCTTTATTTTTTTCTTTTTTTCACACCTTCAGGTAAACAAAACACTACACAAATTTGAGTGGAAGAATATAAATTCTCAGATCGTTTTTTTATAAATAAAAAACGAAATGCTCACTCACTTATTCATACATATATCATACATTTATGTAGTCATTGAAATTTAACTCTTCACACAAAAGATTACCGAAAGTATCTTTAAAAATGTTTAATTCAAGGAAATTGCAACAATGAAAAAAATTGTTCAACTAATCGCATTGTTTTTTAAGAAAGAAATATAATAGAGGTATTCAAAGATAAAAAATTAGTATAATCGTAAGAACATGATGGTAAGCGCAACTTAGGAAAGAGTCGGTTTATCAGACATTAACTGATTCACATAAACGAATTAATTTTAAAAACAAAAACTAGTTTTACTAAAATATACTTGTTTAGAGAGTTTCAGATTATTTGAGAAGAAAATCGCAGGTCTTTGTCCACAAGATAGAAAAATGTCAGAATAATCATTTCTTTCAGCAGATGGCTAGAGTATAGACTACACTAGAAAATAAAAGTAAATGTTTTGAAAATTATTGACTCTCGTTTATATAGTAGAATGCGTAGTATGAATTTATGTCTTCTATTTCCTACCAGATAAAACTAAAAAAAAGAAAAAAATCTACGTTTTCTTCTTATCCACTTGTCACACGCTTCTAAATCCATTCTTTTTAGAAAATATAAAACTTTAACTCATCGTAGATTTTTTGTTCACTTACTATAGCAGAAAAATGCCTGAAAACTACGTGTGGCTTTCTTTTTTTTTAAACAGAATAAAAAAATGTATTTAGTTCAGTATAATTGTTTTTTTTTTTTTTTAGTTGCATGATGAGTAAAAACATTATTAACCTATCTAAGAGTCATAGAACAACTATATAGATATTCTTCGTTCCTTTTTCTTCTTATATTCTCGTTAAATGATGGAAAAAAACATTTCTATTTCTCTATTTTCTATTTCAAAAACAGTTCTAACAAAACAAGTTTTACCTTTCTAAAAAAATTTTTTGTTAAATTTCAAACACGAATAGTAATAATAAACGAGAGTTTAATAGAACTTTTATATTGAGAGAGAAGAGTAATAGTAAAAGTAAAATTTACATTTAGTTTTATAATTGCTTTCTCTAAAACTATATGAATAAAAATAGCCTCGTTCGTGTCCAAACAGATTGTTGACTATACTTTTGTTTACTTTCTGTCGTAAAATTGAAACTTATTATCATTCCCCTTTTTTTTTTTAATATTTCTGTTCGATTTATTTCGCTGTGCGGTAAAAAATATCCTTTTAACTACATCATGCCGTCAATAACAAGTCACCCTGTTTTTTTTTGTTTCCATTCTAAAATAGGAAAAAAAAATTCTTGTTTTTCATATCTTAAAAAACAAAAAAAAAAAAAAAAAAGAAAAAGAAAAATATGTTCAATATTTTCTTTTTCATACGGCTTGTGGTTAATGTCTATGTGGTCGTATATAGTAGTATATAATGACAGAGACTTTACTTTTCAACAAAACTGAAGTGCAAAGAAATAGAGAGTTATTATTATTCATGTCATGTTTTCTTTTTAGAGTGATTTAAAAATCTGTATGACTTCATTTCGTAATACTTCTATTTTTCATTGTTAATATCAAAAACTTGATATTATTTTCTCCTTGACAAATAAAGTGTGCATCCTATATCATTGTTTCTTCCCACATAAAATATGATACGTGATTTTCCATCTCATCATGCTCATGTACCAATTGTTGAGAACACTTTTATGAACATTGAGAAACGGTAAAACACAAGTGTACAAATATTTAAATTAGAAGAAAAGTATATGTATACATATGTATATAGCATACATATATGTGCATATTCTTTACGACATTATTTATTGACCACCTATTTGTGCGAGATCTTTCTTGCTAATTGGGAACTATTCAAAATTCTAGTGCTCTACTTGACTAGAAAATTAGATCTTTTGTTATATAAAAAAATCCACACAGCTTGACTTTTACATATAATTTAAATTAGCTGCTGTATTAATATCTATAATATTGACTTTTATGTTGCTGCGATGTTGTTCGTCTTCGAGAAGATTATTGTCCTTGAAAAACTAATTTGATTTCATTTTGTTGAGACACATTTAAAAATAATAATTTTTTAATGGAGTAAATACTGTGAAAATCTATAGTCAATTTTTTGTTCTATGTGTGCCTTTCTCTGAAAACAAATGACTTTTACACATTTTCAATCATATTTTTTTATCTGAATTTTATAAATTCAAATTAAGAACAGAGACAAATTAATGTAATGACTGGTGAATATGATTCGAGTTCTTTATCATCACTACTAACATACTGTCATTCTAAACACCATCATCATCACCCACATCCACATGGTGGTAATACAATGCGTTGTCATCAATCTCAATCAGATACACTGTACCTGGCTTGTGCCATGTGTCCAAAACGAACAAAAACTTATGTGCCTCTTGTTGTCTTAGTTAATTTGATTCAATAATAAAGACGATTCTAATTCTCGTTAAAGTACCAATTATATTTTACTTTGTTGCTTTAACCCATTTAATATTCAGAACAAATTCCAATTTTAATTCAATCTGTAAAAAATTCGAAGATATTTTTTTGCATTATCCAATAATCTATTCATAGATTCTTAAGAGATCCATCGAAAGCATGTTTTCGAGCACTCGAAGTACCCCTCGAACAACCGGTTGGGAAGTGACTGAGAATGACATTTCCTGATGCAGTTTTGTGATGATGTAGTCCATTGCTTGTAGACCGGATTTACTTCTTCAAATTTATCGTGACTACAGAAAAAGAATGAAGTTCGAAAAATAAAATTGTAACTCAATTTTTTCACTCAATCACCGGTTTCCTAGTGTAAGCTTTCCCGTGTTTCGTAGGATCCCATACGTTTTCTTCAGTTTGAATATAGGCAGACGCTTTAATTGATGTAAATAAAAGTATGTTAACTTATCTAAATCTTATAAATTCTTATAAACTAATTATATAATCTGTCTTACCGAAATCTTATCAAAATCTTATAAGATTCTTATACGATGAAATATAAGAATCTTATAAATAAATTACGCATTTCCATCGACTGCCTTATATAAGATTCTCATAAGATTTCTATAAAATCTCTATAGAATTGCCGTAAGTTCGGTCGGCTAGGGTAGTACGATGAAAAGTTGATTTTCTGTTCAAATTTTTGAAAGTAGAAAATTTTAAATTTATAATTTCTCTTATATGAATTTTACTGTTCTAAGGGTATAGAAAACCAGTTCATGTTATTCAGTTCTTTATGCTCTTTCGAATAAGATGTTACATGAAAAAGCCTTAAGTTAAACTGGCGTCACAGTAGCCGGAATTCTGAAAAGGTTTCGTATCAGATAGTATGAATCAGTAAAGCCTGCTTTTTAGATTTGGCTCAAACTCCCGGAGACTAAATGACACACAGAATTGTAGTCCTGGAGAAGGGCTATCTATTGGTCTATTGGGCTTGCTGAAATCTCATCTCTACTACACCAGAAAATTGAAAATATTGATCCCTACTCATTTCTGAAGGAAAAGATCAATCAGAAAAAGGTCCTGTAAACGAGCAACAATCAACGTACTGAATATTAATCAGATTATTCTTTAATAGTTTTTATTTGCCTATTGAACCATGGTATTAAAAAATACTTGACTCTGGTAGAAAAAAAGCTGTAGTTAAATTGCTAAACGCAATGGATTATTAGACAAAAAGGGCCTGGAGTGTGAATATTTTTTTTGTATCAGTTTTTTAAGCTCGACTACGCTCGATTATAGGATATAAACAATCATTTTTTGCAATATAATACTTAACCGTTGAATGCAATAAAATCTTAGTGGACCGATTTACTCATTTATGGGCCTCCGTGTTTTACTTGTCAACTTCAGCCAAGTACTTGTTCCATTTATCTTTATTTTGTACGTATAAAGATCATACTCTACTTTTATGGAGTACACGTATGCATGGCTACCAAATTTCTTCTACTCAACAAAAACATTTATTTATTTTCTAAGTTTATACTGATTAATATTGTGACGTTTATATACAACTTGTCAATGTAAAAGAAAAGAATAATTGACTCATCCCAGTACGTGGTTGAAGCGAATCAAGTGGCAATACTTGATGAGTACTCAGAAAAGAACGTATGAAATAAAAATACTTGCCAAGTTCTTGTTCAAAATACTTAGTTAGTGAGAAGATTTTTTCAAATACTTCTCAAGCACTCGGCAACAGAACAAATCACAATCCTGTTACACAGCGTATCGCGAAACAACAGTCAAAATACTAGTATCGCATGTAACGAAAAACCCTCAAAGTCGATGAGAAGGTTGGTTACAGATATGTATGTAATGCTGATAATATGCAGCGTAAGTCTGAGTAGGTTGAGTACATTACATATATAACGTCATCCCAGGTTTGCGTAAGTTAAAGATGGTTTCATGGAGCTTCGATCACCATTATACTGACTTTTTCGGCAAACTCTGCAATTTATATCAAATTAAACATAAGATTTTTACAAATGTAATGGCCGATGTGGCAGATTTTCCTTTGTTCAAGCATGCACTCACATACCATTTTAAAATCTGGTGGATAGTGGCTAAAACATGGAACCTGCTAAAAATGGAAAAAGTTCAATTTTTTTTGCCAAGTTCCACGTTTTAGCTGGCGCTCACCAACAATTTTTTATTTTTAATAAAACAATTCAATTTTTTGAATTTTGGACGGATGAGAGGCAGAAAAGTCAGCTGTGAGTACAACCAGCCAAGCGCGTTTGTCCAGTGTAGAACACAAGAAGAAAGAAAACTGATTGTGGCTGTATGTGTTTGATGATGGCTCAAGCTGATCGTCAGCAGAGAAAGGAGGAAAATCGCGCTTCCTATGTATACCCAACACGATGCGCATGTTGAAACCTTCGCGGCTGTTATTGTATGCAATACTGAGCTTTTTTATTTTCAAGTCATTTACTTGTAAGCACTTGTCCAGCGTACAAGTACTTGATTTTTCACTTGACAAGCACTTGTTGAAGCGCTTGTCAAGTAAAATAGCAAGTACTTGGATTGTATTCAAGGTAATATTATTCGAGTGTTTTTCTATTGTCGCTTAATATTCACTTTGTGAGCTTATATTATTCTATGTCTTCAACAAAGACAACACGTTTTCCTAAGTATAGGTATAGTATTCATGTAAACAGATAGTGGCGAGCGGTCCTAACACGCTGTGTTATCCAAGGAACTGCTGATTTTAGCCCTATTTAGAGTGTTTATAAGTGGAAAATAAGCAAAACTGACATCTAAGACAAAAAGAGATTGTAAACAAGGCAAGTCTTCAACTCTTTCTAAAACACACTTTTTGGTCAAACAGAAAAACCCTTTTGGTTTTTAAATACGCTTTTTTCGGTTTAGGGTGATTAAAAAGCCCTTACTTGCCAACGACTTTCACTAGTACTTCTTAGCAATAAAAGCAAGTATTTTTATTATTGAGAAGTCCTTTGTGAAAGTACATGGAAAGTGAGAAATATTGAAAACACTTGTCAGTTTTTCCAAGTACTTACTAAGTACTTAGCAAGTAATCAAGTACTTGCGTCAGGTACGTTCTAAGGTAGTCAGCGAATTGTCTTTTTCTAACCTTTGAAGCCACATCGCTCTATGACCATACGATCTTTTTTCAAATTCTGCTCTCCAGTGACCTCTCTCACTAAGAAAACCGCCATCATAGCAAAAATTATACCAATTGCTTCCAACTCTCCCATTTCCAAAACTTATTAGTGCTCTTCTAAAACCTGACAAAATGAAATATCGTTAAGGTTTTTTCTGACAATGTGATTGGTACTTTTATAATGATTTGAAATTTACATAGACTCACTGTTGTGTCGATTGCATAATGTCATTATTTTCTTCGTTTTTCGACATATACAGCTTAGTTTCTGTGTCACGTGCGTTGAATATTTATCAAATTATGGAATTATTTGGCAGTATTTTTACTCATCTCTCTTGCTTTGCCTACGCGTTCTTTTGATATGAGATTAGTATAATCCTGTTATTGAGGTATCAATAAGCGTTCCTCTTCAGAAGAAATGCAGTGCACAAGACATGATATGGGATAGCGGCAGCCACGCTCACACCGGTGCCCCGCAAGTGCCCATATATTTTTATCAATAAAATGTCAATTGAGAATATGACTAATAGTAGTGTGATGGTTAGATAGACAGACGGCTGAAGGAAGAAATTGGTGATTGAAAAGTGGAGTTTGGCTTCGATGTCTAGAAGAAAAAAACTTGACATCCGTGTACAACAGTGGCGATCGGTGTTTCTCACAGAATTTATCCGCTGAGAGTGCGAGCACGCTCTGTTTTTCCAACCAAAGCGTATGCGGATGCTCTGCTTTTTTCGCAAAGCGTACACGTTTCAAATCTAACAAAGAAAGCATTAATTAGGGATCAGGAAACTTTGTTTATACAGGTTTCGTAGAAAGCAACTTTGCAAACACAGACAATTACAAATAGAGAAAAATATCACTGATCTTGTATAACAAGAAAAAAGCCTCTTTTCCTATCACTGTTTGCGATAGCAAAACGTACACTGTACGCTCTGCTTTTCTCTGCGAAGCATAGAACAGAACGTATTTTTAAATTTCGCTTTGCTATTAGAAGCACTGGTGCCGATAATAGTTATTTTTGAGGTGTTGTTGATATGTACAGGCGGTGAAATTATTAAGTCACTTGAACGTTTTAGATATGAAATAAGTTTTTAAAGTGTTCAATTAATTCTTCTACATTGATTTTATTAATCACGTTGTTTATTCGGCGTTCATCCTTGTCCCCTTTTTCTCATCAAGTTGCATGTTTTTCACTTTGTTGAAAGACCGCAATAGTATTAGTACTGGTCGTTGTTTGATATGAATGAAGAGCTCATTGACGATAACAACAACTACTACAACGACGACATTAATATTGTCAAAGAACTTATTGAATCATTAGTTAATCGTGTTTCATTTTTATCAATTGTTGATCCTAGTTACTTAAAAGAATTTCATCACATTCAAAATTCAACTGAAACGTTATTTATGGGTCCATTGAGTACTTTGAATCGATCTATTCGACAATTATTAAAATTTGAATTTAATACTGCTATAAAATCCACAGATTTTTCAACACTGAGGTTTCCTACCGATCATATACCATCATCAAGATGTTGGTAAGAATGATTTTAATATCGATTTCTTTCTACTTATTTTTATATATGGACAAAACCAGCGTTGCGGGACGTAACGTTCCTAAACTTGGAGTGGACTATATACTTGAAGTGTTAAACTTTCTAATGGTGCTATTTATACCAGAAACGTGTATCAAATTGTTAACGATGCCCACGAAAAAATGAATTCTAAGGATACTTGTTAAGATTACCTTTTTCGCGAAAAACTACGTCGTTGCGGACGTGACTGAAACACACTTACTTTTTTTGGTGTATGCGACTATCTCTTGAAATTCTGAAATTGATAAAGTATGTTGCAGATTTTTCAAATTGCAAGTTGTAGAGGAGACTTCAGGCTACAAAACTGGCAGCAACGGCTTTTCTAAATCATTCGTATATTTAACGCTGGAATTCATTTAAGCCGTCGTTGTGCACGTGACGCGCCGTTGCGCACGTAATTGAGTACGAAATCCAAAAGGAAAAAAATCATTGCTATTACATTTTTGTTACCTGTAAGACTTCTACTTAATAGAAATGATACATAAGGATCTCCACATGGTAACTGAATATAAGTTTTTGAACTAGGTCTCCAGGAGATTTCTAGAAAATCCTTTTTTTGGCATGGTAGTTGAATGTTTCCGATTTTTGCTGAAAATTTTACAGTGGATGCGCACTAGTAATAGAAACATTCTCTGAAATTCTTAAGAGCAAAGAAACTAGTTTCAAGCCGCTATTCGCTAATTCTTTCTAATTAATTAATTAATTAGCTAATTAGTTTTAAAGAGCAAAGTCTTCTTCATATATTCAAATAATAAAAAGTTATCCCCTAAAATAGGAGTAGGGAGAAATTCAAGATGAACAAACGATAGTCATCTCCACTTTATACTGGTTTTGTCCATATGTCATTAAGACTCAAAATATTGACTCTATTTTTAACTATAAATTAATAGTCCTCTCTACTCAGTAGAAGGCTGTTTTTCGTTAATTGGCTTGCACGTATGCTGTTAACGTGTCAATTATTTTCTAAAATTTTGGCGTATTCAGAATATCTTAACTCAGTGTTTTATTATAGTTCGTCACGATTAAATCGTGGTGATCAACTAACAAAACAATGTCAGCTTCATCAACGTTTCAATAAACGACTTGAATGGCTTCAACAACGACAACAATTATGTAAACAATTAAATGTTGAAAATCTTCATAAAACAAGAACTCAAACGCCCATCATAAATAATAATTTAGAGACATATATCATTGATAATAAAGAACAGACAGATATACCCAAATTAACAATTAGGTAAGTTCTTTTTGTTTATGTAATCGTTCTAATAAATTCGATTTTGGAGATGATCTAAACAAATATTTAATCAATATTAAGTTTCATGAAAGTTTGAACGTTTTTTTATAAGCATTTTATATAAAACTTACCGAGTCTACTTAGATGTTGTATTCACACTGACAATTTCATTTCTAGTTCTGCAATATTAATAGAATCAGATTGGATTCATCAACGTTTAAAATTAATTGATCATACATTGACTCAGTTAAGACAATCAAATGATAATGAAACAATGGCAAATATTCAAGAATATGATAACTGTGCAAGATGTCGAATTTATGAAAAACAACGACCTTTAAAAAAAAAAATTGAATCTGTAAAACAACCACAAGGACAGAAAAACAGAAAAAATCAAAGAAAAGAAATCGACAACGAGTTCCAACTACAATTTAGTCCGGGTAGGTTAGGAATATATTCTTCATAAAATCTTAGACTTGTGAAAAAATGTTTTTTCGCTATTGTTGATGTTAAGTTTTAATATCAACTACGATGTACGGATATGTTATAGTGAAAAAAGCATAATTTTGTTAGAAAATGTTATGATGTTCATGTTATTTTTTTCCTTTTTTTTAGAATATGACATTATTCTATCATTATCAAAAGTAGCTGATCGAATCGGGCATGGTTCTGGTGTAAATAATCAAGAAAAAATTGAATCAAACGATGCAAACTTATTGATACGCACAAGTATGTTCACAAAAAAGCAACAATAAATTAAAATTTTCAAATTAATAAAAATTTAAATTTAAACTGGATTATATTTTTTATATTTATTTTAGATCGAAAAACTAAACAACGTATTGTTAATTCATTACTACAAGCAACACATACAAATGATCTGCTAAGAACATCAAGTCGAACACAAAGTTCTGAAAGTCAAACACATTCGAACAGTAGTAATAGTATGGATAACAAACGAAAGCGAACATGTAAGAAAATCAAGTCATAAACGATAGTTTGGCATCCTGATCGATTATAAATTATTTTTTAAACTACCGTAGTGCTTAAATTTAAATATTCTTTGTATTCTTCTAGCCTCACCATCCATCAATCCTCCTATTCCATTACTTTCATCATCATTGTCAACAATGTCTCATAATACTAACGAAATAATGACACCAATATGGCGTCAGTTAAGTTCAAAAGATTTGGATTCATTTGATGATTATATGAACGATGATTTTGAAGATATTTCTGATGATACTTATATTCATCGACATTTACATTGTGAACAGGAACAAGAACTGTGGCTACATGATCCACCGGCATCATCATCTCATACCACTACATCTCGACAAAATTCATCTACTACATCAAAATTAAATGGTTCACATTCAATTGGTGAATTTACAACTCTTAAACAGCAACAAATATCTCATACAACAAACAATTCACAATTATCACAAAAACGAATTCAGACGAGTAATAATCATATTCCCAGTTACACATATCGTTTGACAGCAAATGGAGTTGCTTACACTGAAACTATTGATAATGAACCTAGAGTTTAATATAGATATTTATTTATTGTATAATCTATTGAAACCCCGGTGACTTGAGAATTTTGGCAATAAAAATTTATGAAATAAAATATAGAATGAAAACTTTCCAGCAAATGATAGAAAGAGTTTTAAAGCTCTAATTTTTAGTCGATAAATTGCCTGGTGAGGTCGTTGCATACTGCCAATTGACCACTATTTGAAGAACAATTTGATGAACTTTTTTCCCTAATCTGCGATTTTTTCTCAGGAATATGTAACTAGTCTGTCCTATTCTTTTATTATTTGTTTGAAGCATAGTACACGAGCTGGAATCGCTTTTAACTTTTTTTCATCTTCTCGGATTGTCTCTGTGTGTCGTTTTTTTTTTTATAGTCATAAATAAAAAAACATAGTAATGTGCGCTGTGCGCCACCTTTTTCATTTGCTTGTTTTTTTTATTATTCATTCCTTCCTACAATGTTTACTCTGATTTTTTGTATCATTATGTTCATATTTTATTCTCATATTCAGTCTGAAAACAAACAATTGATATGCACATAACTGTCGTTGTTTTTTGTGCGCGATTGTCTAAATATGCATTTATTGCTCAATCAAATATGTTTGTGTATATAGTTGATGGGTATTTACTTTATTTTATGAAAATTAAAAACAGAGAATAATAAAACAAAAACTAACATTGTGGCCTATGATTATAATCATACATATTCTCGTCTTGGTGGGAATACGTACAACTCACCAGAGAATATCATCGGTTGATCAACTTCGTTCTGATTCATGTTTGACCAAATGATAGAGTCCCTTTTAAGACCTAAAACATCTAAGAATGTGTATTGACGTACTCTAAAACAAGAGACAGCCAGGATTTATTTTACACATGCACGACATAATGATTTTTTTGGTTTTTTTCAAATCTCAGCAAAGGAAGAGCAGATATATTTTTCTAAAACATCTCAGCGAGGTCTAACAACGTTAAAAATATCAAATCTATAACTGAAGTATAAGAGAAAAAAGTCGAATTTTTCTTTATTTCAGTTATTTTCTATTTAATTTTCGTAATGTCAATATTTATTTACATCAAAAATATTAAATTAAGTTGAAAATATTGAATTCGTAATATTTAAGATCATTGTTCAGTAGATATGATATTGGATAAAAATAATGTGTAAAGTGTAAATATCGACATTACGAAAATTAAATAAGTGAAATAAAGAAAATTTATCCAGAGCACGTCAGCATAAATCCTCTTACACTTTTTCTTACAATGTTTGGCTAACATGGACCAGACTTGACTAAGCTGTTGGATCATGTATTTTCTTGTATGCCATGCTCCATAACCATTCTTTCTGCCATTGTCTGTGATTAAAAGAAGAGTATAAAATTACTTTTGATTTATTAAATTTTACGAGATAGACATAGATAACAGTGACCTGTATTGAGAGAATATTCTTAGAATTACTTGCCTAACTTCCATTATTTGGTAAAAATTTTTATTTAGAGAGTCGAATGAGTTCTATATTTAAAAAAATTTGATAGTGAAATTCAAAACAAATTGGTGATTTAACTGAAAACACATTTTGTTTTAGATCATTATGTTAAAACTATCACACTTCTGATTATTTATGTACAGACACTGTTTAGACATGAACGATGACAGCAACAGAGTTCACATTCAATTATGTTAATTGACGGTCGCTAATTAAGAAACAATGGTCTAAAGATATATGGTTTACCAACGAAACAATTTACAAATGTACAAAATGGTAACACATTCCAACAGTATCTACTGCAGCCGGTGAAACTTGTAGTGGTAAATGATTTTTCAATTAAATGAAAGAACATTGTTACCTATCATAACTATACTCAAAGGTAAGTTTCTCAATGTATCACATTCATAGCTCACATATAAATTAGCTATCATTGTAGAATCTAGTCACACAAAAATTTTGTTTACGACTTTACCAAACGATTTTCCTCTGTATCACACAATTGACACGAAAAGATCTTTTACAATAAGAAAAAAGAGTGAAATGCAGCAATTTATAGATCATTAATAAAATGTTGCAATTTAATCCTCATATTCCCACCGATGCAATTTTTACTTGATACTGTGGTATATGAAGTAATCAAGTAAAAAAATGGTAGAATAATTTAATATTCATAACGTCATTGGTTGGTGTACAGTACAAGACCGTTGATATAGCTCTGTTCAAACCATCTTCTATCAAAGTAGTCTTATTTTGTAATATGGATAGTGAATATAATCTTGTTCAGAATTCTCAGATCTATACGTGTGCACTAAATGCGTGCAATCATTATGGATTGATCAATGAGTCTAAGCCGATATTTAAATCTACCAGGTTAAACAAGACAAAATAAATGTATACAACGATTGTAACTACTTGTCTTCGTCACAGTAAGTTAGTCAACAGTCGAGACTTTAAAACACATTGCTCAATTAAAATTGTCTGCCTGCTTTTCTGATTTATACTGGCGCACTATCATGTGTATGTGTATTTACAGAAGGCAAAAAAGTAATACAAGAGTGGGAAAAGGAGAATATGACACGTATTAACGTTCTTATTTGACATCTTGTTTTATGTTCGAGAGAGAAAAAAAGGTGAATGATAGTGATCATTTTCATCTACCAATGTTTTTGGCGTAAACAGAACTAGAATAAGGTCGGAAACATGTTTACATTGAAATTTTTAGATTCAAACTTCTATTTTTTTGTTGTTTAAGTCGAATTAGTTTTGATCGATTACGATATTTAACGATGGCAGTCGAATTTTTAAAATATATGATCCCGAAGTTTTTGTCCTAATGTGAAATTTTTTCAATATACATAATTTTGTGCACTCTTCTTGAATGTGACCTTTTCGAGGAAAAAACGATTGTCGTAAGACCGTAAATGTTCAAAACGTCTTTCTATCTACGTGTATGGAAGAAAAACTCAAAAATATTGTGAGTTAAAAGTCGACGTTGATGTTCTCTCGACTTTACAATGGAATATGTTCAATTGTTGACCGAGAAAAAGGCATGTGCCCATACTATGAGCCAATAGTTAATCGGCACAGGGGCGTTATGATAAACGGATGAAATTAAAGAACAATTTGATGTGTGGCACTTCGAAGTCGAAAGTGGATGTTATTTGGTGAAATGGTATATAATATCAGAGGCCATGATTTACATAGCCTTTGAACAGCAGAAATTTATGATGAATTGGACAAGAGCCTGACTATAGAACTTGAACAAAGTGACATATGAGAACGACTTTTCCATTTAACCCCTAAAAATACTCAATGTAACAAAACTCAAACGAGAAAATGGATGAAATGTTTTTTGTTTAAGTATCGCAAAATATGTTAATAACTATTGTTTCTCACTGTAAAAATTAGAACTTCTTAGTTTTTACCATTTTTACTTGATTTATTTACATAGAACTCAGTGACTTTTTTCGATGATAAGTTTCGTTTTCATGTGCACAGGTAATATTTCCAGATATCAAAAACTGAATGAATACTTTTATTTTTAGTTTATCTCTGAGTTTTAATTTGAAAATCGTGTTAGTTTTTTAAACCCACATCTCTAAAATTATATTGACTACAATTGATATATTTATTTTTATGGAATAAAAAACGTGTTTATTGAGATAAAGAAATACACTACATAACCTCATAGAATAGTCTTTTTAATTTTTTTATTATTGTTATATGAATCATATGCAAATAAGAGAACACAAAGGTTACAAAATATATATCGTATTCTTTTAAAATAGTTTTAAAATCGATACCTGACATTTTCTTTCTCCTCTTTTTTACAGACGAATCTAGACGTTGATATCTAAACGATTTTTAAACACATGGAAACAGTTGATATTCGATGTTTGTCAAACATTCATCTTGCTAAAGATGTTTGAGATATTTTTGTTATACAAACTAGATAAGTTTTGACGTTAAAAAAACCTTGATAGTGAGATTGTGAATTATACTGACATTGAATTTGTATCTGAGTGTGTATATGTATGTAGCTCTTGTATTTTTATTTATTCCAATAGATTCTTTTGCTATTACATCATGTCATCATCGTCGACTAAAGATAAAATGATCTATCGTTATTTGGGTAGAAGTGGCCTTAAAATTAGTGTATTATCATTTGGTGCTTGGGTAATTAATCCATCAGCCATATGTAATTAGTTTAAAAGTAAGATTTTTTTCATTGTAGGTCACATTTGGAACACAAATGGGTGAAGACGAAGCGTACGCGTGTATGAAAACTGCTTATGATAATGGTTGTAATTTTTTTGACAATGCTGAAGTATATGCAAATGGAAAAGCTGAAGAAGTGATGGGAAATGTTTTACAACGTTTCTTTAAAGATGATGGTATTCAACGAAGTGATTTGGTTATATGTACAAAAATATTTTGGGGTACTGCAAATTATCATTCTGCAGCAAATAAAGCCAATCTAAAAGGTTTATCTCGAAAACATTTGATTGAAGGTGTTAAAGGAAGTTTGAAACGATTACAATTAGATTATGTTGATGTATTACTTGCTCATCGTCCTGATCCTAATACGCCCATGGAAGAAACTGTACGTGCATTCAATTGGATTATTGAGCATGGTTATGCATTTTATTGGGGTACAAGTGAATGGTCGAATGAAGACATTCGACATGCATGTGTTTTAGCTGAAAAATTAAATTTAATAGCACCCATTGTTGAACAACCACAATATAATATGTTACATCGAACAAGATTTGAAGCTGAATATAATTCATTGTATAAAGATTATCAATATGGTACAACAATATGGTCACCATTGGCATCAGGTCTATTATCAGGAAAATATACAAAAGATTTTGATAATAAAGATAATCGATTGGGAATGGGTGGTTCCTATTCTTGGTTAAAAGAACAATTAGAATCAGGTGAAGGTTTAAATGGATTAGAAATAAAAAATGTTGATACTATTTTGGATAAAATTGAAAAACTAAAGCCGATAGCAAAAAAATTAAATGCTACATTAGCTCAATTAGCAATTGCATGGACTGCCAACAATCCACATGTTACAACAGTTATAACCGGTGCTAGTCGTTCGAGTCAAGTGATGGAAAATTTTAAAGCAATTGAAATTTTAGATAAATTAACACCAGAAATCATGGAAGAAATTGAAAATGTTTTACAAAATAAGCCAAAATTCCCATTAGATTGGACAACGAGAAATTAGACAAAAAGTTAATTTCTTTTAGTGTAGCATATGTAGAACTTTTATCATTTTTCATCTACGACAACGTATATAAAGTATTTGTGGAGTTAAGAGTAGGCCTGAAAAAGTTCAGCGTTCCGCTAAAGCACGTTCCCGTTCCTTGAACGTGAACTCTACACATGACATTTTTTGAACGCACACACTTTATTTTATATAAACGGTGTTGATCTTGTGTGGAATGAATAGTATTGCAAAACTTTATATAGGAATTTCACCTAATAGTATACCAAGTGCAACAGCTTTCTCCATTACCAGTTATATTTAGTAAAAAATCAACGCTCGTTTGCCCCAGATAGGTTACGATAACAAAGGAAAACGTATGTAGTTACTGAAATGGTTTGGAGCAAGAAACTTCAATTCCACTGCAGGAAAAACTAGTCTTCTGGTCAGGAAATCGGCGATCTGTTCTTGGTAGAATCAATGGCTATCCTTTTTACATTGCAATAATCTGGTCACTGCCCTGAGCAGACCATCTGATTGTTCACTAGAGTTTCTATTGATCAGATAAGACCAAGCAGAAATATATATGTTCTTATTACAGCACAAGAACAGAATTTTATATTTACGTCAGACAATATGAATACCGTTCGTATAAAAAAAGTTCACGTTCACCAGTGCTTTAGCGTTCGCGTTCAAGGAGCGAAACGTGAACTTTTACAGACCTAGTTAAGAGAGGCAATTTTTGAAATTTTTATCATATTTTGTTAGTTCTCAATCACTTTTTAGGAATAAAACTTGTTATTGAATGCTACAATAGATTTTTTACATGATGATCTAAACATCTTAAAATATTCCGTAGTTTTTTGCTTAGATTTAAAATGTGACGATCCTCATTTAAAGTCTATTTTAATCTCTAAACACTATATCCTTAAAACAGAATTTCTGATGTAATACAGATATAAGCGCTATATGCTAGGTATCGAGTCAAAAATGCTAGATCCTAGTTCATTTGATGATCTGATTTGTATGTTGTTTGCCTTTATATTTTGAGATACTAAAATACAGATATGCGTAAGACTGACTACGCGATGGATGCGATTAATGTACTGACGAAAATCGACTGAAAGAGTGAATACTGGCTGGACACATTACTGTAATAGAAAAGAGTGATGGTTTTTCTTCTCTAATCGGTGTGCAGATTAATTAATATTAAAAGAGACGTCAGAAGTGAGTAGGGAAACCTTTGCTATAGTGCTTTACTACATTTGTTATTCACGTTGTAAAGTTCATACTCATCTGAAAGATATTCAGTTTTCTTTTATCGTACACAAACCAAGAGTATGAAAAATATCATGCTATTTATGTCATTTTTATCTTGGACAAGAAATAAACATATTTTATCTATAGTAGTTTATTTTATTTTAGATTATATTTGATGAAAATACTTTTGGTTGAGATATGCTTCTTGACTTTAAATCTTAATTATGAAATGTAATTTATTATATTTTTTAAGATACAAAATTCGACAAAAAACACAAAACAATCCTTTCACTATGATGGTAACCAGTTGCATGTTTTATTAATATTCTTAAGTAGGTCTAAAAACGGTAATCCTTCTAGAAAACTTTATCTAGGAAAAATCCTTCAAATACTAAACTACTTACTAACTTCTTAAAAAGAAAAATATACTTTAAGGTATTTATCATTTTGAAAAGAACATTTTATTCTATGTGATTATCAGTAGTATTGACAAAGAGGCCAGATATAAAATTTGATGATTTTGTTGTGTAGTAAGCAAGAAACGAGCGAAAAAGTATATTAAAAAATTGATATTCTAAAATGTTATTCTGTAATTGAGGAATGGATGCATTTCCAGTCGTGGAACCGAACTCGTATAAAGTACCGGTTCAATATCGGTTTAGGAAAGGAAATTTTTTTTGAGGTTTTTCGCCTACTTATAGGTACCACGAGAGAGTGAACAAGAAATAAATGACATATTAAATAAAGCTCACGTTATTTGCGCATAAATATTTTTTAGTTATTTAAAAATTTATGTTCAATAGACGGAAAAGTGAAGGCGAGGAAATTAGATAATGTAATGTTGAAGAACTGTTTGACTTTAAGTAAAAAAATAAAATTTTCTCTTCCTAATGAAACAAATTAAAAAGTATCACTAAAAGTATCCTTTCTATATCGAACAAAATTTCGAAATCGACAAAACTGGCCAGTTTTTTTTTTTTGCTAATTCTGGGATCAGTTTACCGGTCGATCCGGGCCAGTTTGAAAATTAAAATCGACGACCAGTAACGGTTTCATCTCTGGTTCATTCTAGCTACGGTGCTGCTTTTTTGCCTTAACTCTATACAATAGTACTCTTAAGTTGAATATTGACTTAAAACACCCTCAAAGTTGTCTTAAGTGAATGCACTACAATAGACTATACGTTGACTTAAGTTTATACTCAAGTTTATAAACTTAAGACTACTGATCAAATGATATTCAGCTCTTCACTTCATTTATTTGAGAGAAAGAGTAGCCCTGATTCGACGTGTTTTACAGTAAAATGAAAAATAATAGTTGAAGTCTGGTAGTGCACAGAATATTGTCGTTATCAAAACATCCTTTTTCAACATTAAAAAGACTCTTTTTATCTCTTTTGTTGCAGATATTTTTGACTTTTCTACTGTAGACTGTTAATTTTGTATTTCTACTACTGTAGGTTGCTTAGCGAATCTGTAATTCTTAATCATAGCTGTAAAAATGTGAAACAAATGTTCCTAAAAGAGTTATCTGTCTATCTAAACTCGCTTATCGTTGACGACAAGTCATTCAATCTTTTAAAAATTCAACATTTATTTGAATATTTTTGAGTGTGTGAAGTGACTAGAAAATATCAACAATAATGATTTAATAAAAGAAATGTTTTATAATAAGTGAATTTGTAATGATGCATGGAATTCATAGGATCATTCGCGTGAAAGAAATAAAGCATTGTTGAAATGATGTATCGTGTTTTAGTTTTGAAAAATTCATTGTATATCATCTAGATTTTTGCGAAAACATTAAACTAATTTAGAAATAAGCTATATTAATAGATCTATTTTTCTCAAGAGATTTGGACTCATATACAACACTTCTCATAAATATTATAATTATTGTATTTAAAAAAATCCAGCTGTAGTTTTAATATCATACTAACCTATTTACACATTTTTTTATGACGTTCCAAAGATGTTTTTATTTGATTAATACATTTTCTGGAGATATAGAATATTTTTGATTAACCCTTGACACCCGCACGTTTCTTCCAAGGAATATTGACGTAATAGGTTTATAAAAAGAATCAGCTCAAAAGATAAATTGTTTTTTTCTTATGTAAGACGTTAAATAAGCTAACGTTTGATTGAAATAAAAAGAAAAATTTTGTATTTCAGTGTGGTGATGAACATTTCAGCTCAAGCTATAATAAAAGTGTTTGGGGATGTAAAGGGTTAATATGATTATATTCTATGTTTACGTATCTCCATCAGCAATATTAGCTAAGAACATGATAATAGGAACTTAGATACTAGTACATGCTCATATCATTACAATTTATGAAATAAAGTCTAGATTTTTCTATACAATAATTTTTACAATAGATATATGAGATTAAACGATATAATTTAATAAATCAGGAGAATTTGCTATAAATTAGATCACTTTTTAGTTTATTTTAACAGTTATCATAGTTCTGTGTAGCATAGATGTACAACATGTTACGAGAAACACATTTACACGCTTACCATTATTTTTGTTTTGGTAAAATTTACGCAATTATTTTAGTAAATATGATTCTCTTTTCTGTTTCTTATTACTGTAATATCCATATACAATAATATTGGTTTTATCTTTTATAAAATAATTGAAAAATACAATGGAACATTCATTTTTTTTTAATTTTTATTTATTTATATATCTATCGATAAGCTATAGTATGTTTTTTAACCTGTACGTGATATCCATAATGGTTTACCATAAAATCGATTCCTTGTTCGTCTTGATAACCATAATGGACTAACGTGAAAATTGGGAAATTTATTTCGTTTATGATAATCTTCATCATCTTGTTGTTCTGTTAAATCATTAATATTATCATCATCAACAAAATTTGGCTCTTGTAAATGTAAATATTGTTGATTATTGGTATTTTGACGATTCATTACTTCATCATTATCATTGTTATTATCAAACAATGAATTATGTTGTTGTTGTTGATAATGATAAGGATTGATACCTGTCGATGTTTTAATAAAATAGAATAGCAAAAGTGTTGTTAAAAAATACAATGATAAAAAATGAATTGATCGTAGTTGATGTAAAAAAGTTACAATCATTTTTAAATAAAAAAGAAAAGACAATAATTTAAGTCTAAGATAGAATCAAATCAATAGAGTGATAAATAGCTTTAGATATAGATATGATTAAGGCAACAAAAAGTTCTTCTATATGAGTGGGCTTTCCATATACATCTTCATCTATTTATATAAGAAAACAGAAATAGAGAGAGAAAAAAAAAATGTAAAGAAGAAAAAAAAGGAAGGAATAGAATTATTTGTCCATCCAATCGATGTAAGAAAAAAGATTATGTGTAGAGTTGATGATAATGTTTGATGTGTTTATGTGTTCCGTTTAATTTCCTCGCTATATGGGAAGAACTCAAATTAAATTTATTGTTCGATGAAATTATTATCAAACAACTACTACTACTACTACTTTGTTAACGATCAATGAGCATGATATGATGTCATTGACCTTGCTTGAAAATATCTTCTCTTGTGGAAATTTGTTTATATTTGTTACTAATAGAATAATGCCTATGATTAACTAACATATATTTCATTATAACTATAGAGTGCTGTCAAGAAAACGTAACTCATTCTCTCTCTCTCTCTCTCCCTCTCATTCGCCCTCTGTCCCATGTTAATCATTAATGGTTATTGTTTTTCTCATTTATCACTGGCAATATACATCAAGAGAAAAAGAAAAATTTGAAAATAAAATAAATTATTTTTACTATACTCTTGAATTTTAATCATCATACTTTTACCTATAGAAGAAGATAAAATAACAGAGTTGTGCAGTAATAGCTTACTTTTAATTTTAAAATCTGTCCAGGTGATGATGGAGTCACAAAAAGATCAAATTGCAATTGAACTTTAATAGTACGAAAGCAAAGGATTTGATACTTCTTAGTGTATGAATAGAAGAAAAAACGATATGTACATACGTCATACAAGATTATTTTGAACTATAATCATCTTGTTTCTGTTTGAACAATTATAGAAAAACATGAATTTAATTGGATTTTAATTCTATATTATGTTTGTATTGTGTCGCGCCGTGGTTTTAGAAGAAAAAACGTAATTCTATTAAGATTAAAAGAAAAAAAAATCTTACTACCTTGAATGTATAAACTATGTTCAGTAGGAAGTTGTAGAGAAAGTCTTAGACAAAAAATAGTCGATTTTTATCTCCTAAGATACTCTTCCTTTTTTTGCTAGAAATTTTCAAAATAAAACTGCATTGTAATTGCGCTACGCACAAGTTGCGATGTCGACAGACTCCGTCTCTGACTGAATCTACTTCTCCAAGCAGATCCTATTAGTAGGCTGTGAGCATTGCGTTTTTGCTTTGATTTACCCTTTGAACTACTTATAATATAAAAGAATAATGACGGAAATTTGAAAAACAGAGAAAGAAATTATTTTTCATTCTCATTTTTCATTCTCTAACTAAATGGCGTCGGACAAAAAAGTAACAATAATTATCTAAGTTCAAAACACATTTTTCTTCCACTTGTGTAGCTTATGGCATCGAATCTGGACCTTTATTTGAGAGAATAACTATGTATTGATCAGTCTCCACTGTTGGGAGATTATCTTCCCGTTTTCAAAAGTTTTCTACTTCTATAGATCAAGCGGCGTACATTTTGAAATAAAAAAGACAAAAATCCTAGCAAAAACACATAATGTCTGTCGGCATAATCATCATGAGGAAGTCTGTACTTTTGAAAAACTGAAGAGAAAAAGTAAAGACTTATTCAAATAACGAACAATGAAAAAAACTACATTAGACTAAATGTATAAGCCGATATTAAATACAAGAGTGGCATGGACCAGGGTCGTTTTTATTACCGATTTCTTTTATTTTCGTCTTTGGCTTATTGTTAAAAATCATTGAGGTAGGAGAAAAAGTTTTTATCTATTTGCATTGTTACCATTCTTCATCGACAAGAATCTATACGGCTTAAACGCGCGTGATGGAATTACATTTTTTCAAATTTTGGGCCCTGGTTCTCCGCAAATACTGAACAAAAGACGACGAAATTTTTGTCAGAGATGTGCGGTAGAATCCTTTGTTTGTGGTAAAAATTTTGAATGCGTCGGTTAAGTAGAACGATTTTTATGCGCAAAATAGGTGTCGTGACGGAATTACATTTTTTAGCCTTTTTTTTGTCTAGTGCTCTACAAACTTTGAAAAATGCTCTAAAACGAAACAGATTCAGAAAAAAAGTCTGATATAAAAGTTGTAGAGCATGAAAAGAACTTTCGAATCATCTCTTTACTTTCACTCAAAAATGCTTAAATGAAAAGAAACAAGCGAAATGGCTCCGTGACGGAATTACATCATTTTTTTGCTTTCTTTTGCGGTGGATTTTATCGTTATATTTCTACCGGTAAAAAAGACTTCTATAAACTTGATCTGCACGGAGCCTTATGCAATCGAGTGCCCTCTATCAAACTAAGCAAAAAAGAACGATGGGAGAAATGTTTTTGATTTTCGTAGAATTGTTCCAAAAAAAGCACCATTTCGAATTCGGCAAAACCAGCAAAAACTTGTTTAGTGTACAAAATGCGTTTTTTAAGATTGTTTCGACAAAGTCAATAGTGCATTTTATAGAGAATTTAATTCTTTATCCACTGATATACTTTCTGAAACTTTTTAAAAAACTAAGTAGGTCAGAAAATTGAAATAAAAAAACTTCTAAATTTTAAATTTGAATTTTCGATTTAAAAATTTGAGTTTCATTCGTTTTGAAGTTGATATTCGTAATCAGCGCAAAAAATTGCGTCTAATGATGTGCTTTTAAGGCTGGTTTGAGAGAAAAAAATATCGCTCAACCCACCGCAGCTGTGGGCGACAGTTATGCGTTTTAGCCGTATAATGATCCTTGGGCAGATTTCTGAAACGGGAAAACAAAAAATAAAATCTAAATAAACTTTTTTTGAGATTATGAGATTATGTTTTTCCATTGAACACGATTATTAACTGATTATGTTCAATTCTGATTGTCCACCCCCTCCCCCGCCTAAGTGGTTGTTTCGTTTCAGCTCCATGGAGAGACTATCTATTTCAACTCGTATTGATCCTGGTTACTTGGAGCTACTATTTGGAGCTGAAACGAAACAACGCTCCATGGTTTGGAGAGTCGGACTAGCCGTGGTCATTCGATATACTTTATAAAATCACAATCTTAAAGAAATTCCATTTTAAATCTTTTTATTAAAGTTCTACGAAGTGGCTTTAGTGTTTAGCAACCGTTGAGATATTTTTACCAATAAAGTGTCTCGCTAAAACTTATTAAGTCGGTAACTAGTTCTTCATCATTATTGTTGCTGTTACATGAGTTACTGTCCTCAGACATCATGTAAGACTGCGGTTGTTATTGCATAATCAGTTGTTATTTGTAGTTGTTATTTGTTACGCCACATCTGCACTATATATGCTCTCGATTCCGTGCGAGTTAACAATTCACAAATAATGTTGTGTGTATTGTTGTTGGACTGATCTTGCCTTTATTACTGGATCTATAAAACGGAATCGAAATTTCTGTTTTCATCCTGACAGCCGTCTAGCTAACTGCACTAGACGGCTAACGAAGTGCGCTTGAATGTTGCGTGCAACTATGTAATGTTCTATCGTGTTATTATTTTTCATAACAGCTATTAATCTGATAATATATTTGGGATTTGTCTGCTCTTTATTAAAAACTATGCAGTGATGTCACTCTAAACCAGTTTCATGCACTCAACCTTTGCTTGTGTATAGCACTAGAGCAGTCGTCTTTCAGAAAAGATCACCTGTCTGAAATTGGAAACGTTTTACAAAACAACAATTATATATAGTGTGTACATTTTTTAGATATCCATTTTTCTCCTTGTTTTGTATCTTGTGCTTTCGAAAACAATCATGTTATTAAAATTATTAGTAACATTATTTTGTTTTATCAAACTATCATTATCAAATTTAAATTTAGCCGAAAACCAGAGTGCCAGTGTCGAACCTGCTAATGAATATCTTGGTTCTACAAGTAAACATTTGTTTTGGTTTGTACATGTAAGTAAGATATGATGAGACGAGTTACGTCACAAAGGAAGAATTATAAGATTCAGAATTATTAATCGAGATGGGGACAAAAATTTAAAAGAGAACACAATTAGATTGAAGAGAGAATATTTTGAATTGTTTAGAGAATGGAAATTAATTGGGATAGAAAAGAGAACGCATATTGAATTAAGAATATTTAATTTTTACTATTTTCTTAATTACTAAACGTATCACTATACGGTTTCTGTGGTGTAATGGTGCACTGTATGTCTCATGATATGCATATAGTGCTGATTCGATTCTAGTCAGAGGCTACTTATTTTTTTTTTTCGCTTTTATAGACTCATTACTTTATCTATGCAATTCGATTAAATTCTTGGAACGAGAAATTTTTGAAAAATCAATGTGTTGTACTTACGACCGTTTTGTACTAAGACACACTGATAACCGAATAAGTAAATAATGACTAAACATTTGTTTTTTGTGAAAACAGTTGCTATTTTTTCTTTGCAAATATTTGTTATATTATTTTGTTGGAATTCCCAATATTAGAAAATATGTGATTTTTTATAGTGATATGTTTAGTAATAAAGAAAATAGTAAAAATTAAACATTCTTAATTCAATATGCGTTCTCTTTTCTATCCCAATTAATTTCCATTCTCTAAACAATTCAAAACGTCCTCTTTTCCAATCTTAATTGCGTTCTCTTTTAAATACTTTCTCTCGAGATGGGAATGAAAGGGCAAAATAATAAGACAATGTTTAAAATTCTTTTAGTTTTTCTTTAGGTGACGGATCTTCACATAACACGTTTTGGGCATGAAGAACGTGCACAGCAATTTGAAAAGTTTTGTACAGAAATTATTATCAATTTAATCAAACCACCAGTTGTTGTCGTGACGGGTAAATAAAATTAACGTACATAGAAATTATGGATAGATTACACAGATCTAGTTCATTTTATAGGTGATTTAGTTCATAATCGTGATAATCGATTTGGCTCTGAACAATATCAGGACGAATGGATTAGATACAATGAAATATTGAAACGAACAAAAGTTACAAATTATACAGCATGGCTTGACATACGAGGCAATCATGATGCTTTTATGGATCCAGAACCGGAGTCATTCAAAAGTTATTATCGGTACAGATAATTGATACTTGTTCGCGAATGATTTATGAAATCAATTTTTTTGTTTAGTCAATATTCTCATCAGGGTCCGAATCATCCTTCATCATATCATTATGTTTATAAAACAAATGAAAGTGACCAATATAGTTTCATTGGAGTCGATATGTGTCCAAAACCAGGTAAAATTCTAATATTTGTTTTTAATAGTAATTTTATGGTTTCTACTTTTAATGTAGGTGCCGGTAGACCTTTCAATTTTCTCGGACAGATAACTAAAGTAAGATATTTGACAGTAATTTATATTCTTGATTAGTGAAATGTTCAAAGATCTTGATATTGTTACTCTGAAAAACTCTATTTTATTATTTTATTTCTAGTCTGAAATGCGTCATTTATCCACATTAATTGAAGAAGCTCAAACATCAAATGCAACAATATTTTTCGGTCATTATCCTTTGTCATTTACCTATTCTTCAACATCACCGGGTATACAACATATAATGAAGTAAGTAATAGTCGGATGTGGATGATGACAATAACACAGCAAAACATCAACACTTTTTGACTATTTTTAGAAACGCACTTGTCTATCTAAATGGACATTTACATGCGGGTATCCCTCATCTATATGCTCGTCATTCAAGTGGACTACTTGAATTGGAATTAGCTGATTGGAAAGATCATCGTCGGTAATGTCAATAGATTCTTTTCTCGCTCTCTCTCTCTTAATTCAGTGTCAGTTACAACGTTTAACTAATTTGAGCCTGCTCTTTTCAGATTTCGTCTAGTGACAATTGATGGTGGTATATTAGCGTTTACTGATTTTCAATATGATAAACCAATTTATGCTGCTATCACAAATCCAAAAGCAGCAAAATTTAAAACACCACGAGAACCACTTTATAGACTTAAACAATCAACTTATATCAGGTACAAGAAATTTTCTATATTCAACAGGATATAATTTATCTAATGAAATTGTTATTTTTAAGAATACTCATATTTGCTAAGCATCAAATTATTGACGTTCGTGTACTGATCGATTCCAAATTTATCGGACAAGCAAAAAGTTCTATTGATAATCCAAATTTATTCATATTACAGTGGAATACAAGTTTATATGACCAGGGCATACATGAAATGATTGTAGAAATAAAAGTAATATTTTTCGATAAGAGTATTTCCTAAATGAAAAAATCCACTATGTGTATCTTTAGGATAATCAAAATAATGTAGAAACATTAACCGAAGAATTTACATTGACAACATCAACAATAACCGCATGGACTCGATCGAAACTTGTTCTACTCGCTGATTGGCCAACATTCGTATGTAGTTCAAAACTAAAAAAATAATTATCACATGTATTTTACAACTTTGTCTCTCTCTCTCTTTCTAAAGGGTATTATTGTTTTATTGTTGTCCCTGTGTGCGTATATTGCCGTATTGGTATGGTCTCGATATCGTGCAAGAAGAATGCCGAGTAAAGAATATTCAATTCGACGTATTAGAACGCATTTTCTTGGAAAACTATTTTAATTTCAATTGTTTTTCTTGATAATGTTACTTTTATCATCAGTTACTAAAATTAATCTTTCTATATTTTTTAGCTTGTTGTCCAAGTTGTTTCAGTTTATGGAATGGTGTTCGTCAACGTATGATGTTACTTTCTTCGGTCAATATGATGTATTATTCATTGCTTGGATTAGCCGTCTATCATTTTATTGGTAAGTTCAATATCAGTTATTTTTTTGTTCTAGATTGAACATCTAAGGCAAGTATGATGGTTTCTAAGTGAAATAGTTTAATTAAACACGAGAATTTATTGTATGTGTGAAGTTGTACTTGGTTTGAAATTGTGAAGTTTTTGTCTATATAGTCAAACATTTGTTGCATATATTTTTCTCGTGTTTAGGGCCATGGTACATTGGATACTTGACTCAAGGCTATTTTGGTGCTGTCTTTTGTTGGGGTACAGTGATTCATGGTATTTATCTCCGTCCTGATATGCAGTTATATACAGGCACTATAGGAGTGAGATTGTACAGTTTGTTACAGTTTGTTAGAAAATTGAATTTGTCTCCATTTTAGCTCTATCTATTTTTATTTCCGTTAACATTTTCTCTGGCATCTTCGGTCTATTATCGTTATACTCACTTACATACAAGTACAAATATGACTCAAACGCGTTTACAAAAAAGTTATCGAATATTAACTGTTTATGGAATATTCGGTTATGCAATATTATTTGTACTAATGTGGTCATTTGTTACAACAGCGTCCTATAGTCTAGGCTGGATATTATCACCATTTGGACTATCTCTAGTGACATTCTCATTATTTTTATTTTACAAATCAAACAAATTAGAATTAAATCAATTCCAACTGTTATCTAAAAGAACAAATGGAAATAGTGATGATATGCATGAACCAATTATTCACCCAATAGGTATGCAAAGCCTATTGTATACTCTCGAATGACATCTTTAAAGTGATTAAAATCAGAATATTTTGCATCAAAATTTCTCTATAGAGAAATATACTCTGAAAGATTCTTACCACAGACACTATTTATTTTATTTTTTAGGTTCACAAACTCTTATTACACAATAATCTTACCGTATATTATTTATACTCACGGTTTACAATCAACAGAAAAATTTTATTTTTCTCTTCTTTTAGGTTTATTTAGTAGGAAAATATTTTCTCTCGTGTATAATGACCGATCAATTATGCTTTCTCTAGTACAAAACATAAACTTCTATATATATATATTTTCACAGATTGTTTTTTCTACCATATATTTTTTTTGTATTGTTATTTTTTACATTTTAAAGTCTCACTGGTTGAAAAACATGTCATATTATTCGTCCTTCATAAACATTCTCCTAATTTTATCTAATTGATTGTTGTTTCTAGTAGACGATGTATGATAACAAGTCTTTCACTTCTGTTCTAGTTGTTTCTCTATCATACAATGTTATTGTATATTCGATATATTTTACTGTTTATAACACTTATTTAACATTCTGTTTCATTATTCATCAATAGAAAAAAATAATCTCACCCGTGTGACTAATAGTTCTCAATTGTCTAAAGTAAAAGGGTTCATCGATACAAATATATCTTTCAATCTAACACGTGAATAAGATGCATAAAATAAGATATTTTATACATTTAAAATGAAAAGTATTCGTAAAAATCATCAACATAAAACATTTGGACAAAATGATCATATTCTTATCTCATAAAGGAGGGGTGCGTATTTGATCAGAAAACGATCCCTCATTCTTTTGCTTTATTTTGACTGAACTTTTGTCGAAAAGACATTTGCACACATTGCCCAGTTGTTCTTATGGAAAATAAGCTCAAAATACGTATTTAACCTTGGTTGTTTTGAGATTCCATCAGAGAACGTCGCTCTTAGAAAAAGTAACATTCTTGAAAAATCCAGCATACATTTCCCACAAACCTTGGTATGAAAAGGTAGCCAGTGAAAGACTGAATAAAATACTCTATGAACAATCCGTATACATCATTTCAATACGAAGAAATTATTTTTACAACAGATAAATTGATATGCAACGCGGTATCACGATGTTTTAAGTACTTTTCTCGTCATATGCAAACGAGGATGCAACTTGTACTTGATATAGAAAGATAGCCCTTGATTTACTCTACAATATTCTATATAAAGAACCTTTAACCATTATTGGTCGAGTCACTCCTAGCTTCTACAAGAGACAAATTGCACCTAAAAAGCCGGTATCAGAGATGTTTTAAGTACTTTTCTCGTCATATGCAAACGAGGATGCAACTTGTCGTTGAT